CGGCTGATGTTCTGGAGCTGACAGCTTGTAACAGCCCAATAAAGCTCATCCTGTGAAGTCTCCGCTGAGTCCGTGTGTCCCTGAGAGGCTGGAGGGGTTGGGGGGACGGGGACCTGGGGCACGCGCAGGCGCACTGGGCTGTAGGCTTGAGCAGGGCGGGCATTTTGCTCCCAGGAAATCCCACCTCCCTGTGTTCTGTATGTTTTTGTGGGGGGTTGTGACAGCTTGTAACAGCCCAATAAAGCTCATCCTGTGAAGTCTCCGCTGAGTCCGTGTGTCCCTGAGAGGCTGGAGGGGTTGGGGGGACGGGGACCTGGGGCACGCGCAGGCGCACTGGGCTGTAGGCTTGAGCAGGGCGGGCATTTTGCTCCCAGGAAATCCCACCTCCCTGTGTTCTGTATGTTTTTGTGGGGGGTTGTGTGGGATTTGCCTCTGGAAATCATACTTACAAAGGTTCAGGTGCATACAGCCCTGCTACCTCCGTGGTCAAGCACTGGGAAGTTTTAGTCGGTATTTTACTGTGAAACCTGCGTGTTTTCTTGCAGGCAAGGGGAGCTTGGAGGATTCGTATTTTTTAGGGAGGATAAACAAAGTGAAGACTTTAATCTACCCTGGCTCATTCCTGGCATAAAGCCTACAAGAAATTAGCTGACTCATACTGGCCAAGCAGCCAGCTGGGTGGGGGGAGGTTTTAGATAAACATTTTGCTATCAAGACCTGTCCAGACTTTGTTTATGCACTTCTTTTTCACCCTGTGCCGCCCATTCTGCAATTATGGGGGCCCGATCCTGCTAATAGTGGTGACTATCAATAATTTTCTGGATGTGAGTATCAATCGGTGCTCTGTGCGCACAGAACGTTTTGGGTGTTTGAGTGTCTGCAGAGCAGGCTCTCCAGGGTAGAGTTTGCTCTTGGCATGGGAAGCACCGACTGCCCCATCTGGACTGAGCGTGATGCAGTAAAAGCAATGGTCAGCTGAAAGGAGATGCTTACTTTCAAAGGGAAAAAAGAGGGCATTGCTGTTTATCCCAGTACCTCTGACACCCTGTTTGCACTGCGTCCTACCCCTGCTTCATCCACATTTGTGGGCATCCCACTCTCTGCCCCTGACCCGCTGCAGCGTATTAAAAGCCCTCTGTGACCCATAAATGCCCCTTCTCACACACATCACTCGAAGGAAGAGGCATTTTGTTTCTGGCGTCAAGGCAGACACTGAGAAGGTGAGAAGATGATTCGCAGTGAATCTGGGCAGGCACGGAGTGTGGTGTCTTTGTCAGGTGTTCAGGGTCACAAAAAGCCAGATTCTTACATGATTTTTCATAGGTTTCATGACAGATATTCGTAGACTTTCATATGAACATGATTGTTCATAGACTTCAGGCAGAAATGACTGAATTATTTGAGCAAGTAGGTCTCCTCTTGCAGGCAAGGTGTCTGGGGGTAGAAATGAGCCGAGCAGACCTCTCAGGTTGGACCCTCCAGGTCAGTACAGCAGGGGAGGGCTGGGCTCTTCCCGCTGTTGGGGTTCCTGCAGGGGACCCCTTCCCGGCAGCAGGGACGCCGGTTTCCGTCCCCTGCACCCAGCAGCATGGCAGGATGGGTACGGTGCCCACTGCGCTGCCCGTGGCTTCACTCCCTGTCCCCAGCCCCAGCTGGGGGATGACACCCCGGTCCCTGTCCCCCCAGCAAACAGATCCTGCAGGACGTCTTCTCCCCATTGTGCCTCCTGCGTGATGGCAGGACTCCGCTGCGGGGGCTGACACCCCCCGGGCGATGCCCGGTGCCGTGCGGCGCTGGCAGCACCGCAGGTCCTGGAGGGGCCGATAAGGCGGTGCAGGAGGGCAGGCACCAGCGGCAGCCCGGCAGCATTTTGCCTGCATGTTCTCTCCCCCGTGCATGCACTCAGGCAGTGCTCGACTTGATTTATCATCATGCTCCAGCACACCAGCCCCCGTGCACTAGATTTTCTTGAGAAAAAGCAGATGTAGGCAACTCTAATGAAAATTATTCATCCCTATTCCATTGAAAAACAGTGTACAACTAAAGGAGGAAATATATATTATCAGGCTGAAAATCTCCCTCAGTATTCTCTTTCTTTTAATTGATTTTCCTCCCATTCTTGCATTTTCAGTAAAAGGCCAAGAAGACACTTAGCAGGAGGTGGTCCATGGAGGAAGGCAAGTCCTGATGTCTGGAGAGGAGCTTGGTCAGCTCTTAAGCTTTGCCGGCCATCCAAACACCCCACCTCTTACCCTGTCACTAGTCCGACAAGACCCAGCGCCTCTTATTTAGCCCAATCCAAATCCTATGGAAAACAACAGGAAGATAGCGGATTGCCCCAGGTGCCTTGGGATCAGGATCAAGCCCCTGTGCTTTCAGCAAGTGTTTCTTGGGGTTTTATGCAGAAAATAAAACAGGAGACCCCTGCCGCGCAAGGGCATCTCTCCTGGCGAGGGTCCATCACCCCCAGTGTGCTCGGGGGTGTCCCAGGGGAGCAGTTCACGTGAAGCCCAAACAAATCCTCCTGGCAAAGGAGGCCGGGCACAGCCTGGCTGAGTGTGGGGGAAAATGTGAAATATGGCAGCCTTGTCAGGGCAGGTTCAGAAGGGAAAGGCCCTGCGCTCTGCCAGGCTGGACATCCCTGAGCTGAGCTTTTGCTGCTTTTTGAGCCCACAGCAGATCCTGCAGTGGCAAACCTTGTGTTCAAAGCCCATTTCACCTGCTCTTTATGGATGTGGATGAAAGCAGAAATGGGATGAAAAGGGTGATCCTGTTTGATATTTGCTCCCTGTCCAGCAGCGCTGCATCTGGCTGCCCCTTTTACATTTGAGGGGAGAACATTTGGGTGAGCTTCTTCCTGCTCCAAAAGGAACAAGTAAACCAAGCAGGTCAAGTTCTGTTACAGGAGGAGGACAATAGCGTTAATGCAGATTTCAGCTGCAAAGCCTGAGCATCCTCTGAACAACTCCAGCATTGTCCACAGCTCCTGGTGCTGCAAGGAGACTAGAACGCTCCTGCAGTGCAAGCATCCGCACAGTTTGCTGGCGGCAAACCCTTCTGGGTTGCTCTTATGGGCTACATTTTGGCGGTGGCATTCATCATCTCTCTGATAGAGGCTAAGGCAAGGCAGAGTCCAGCATTTGGGAGAGCCAGGGCACAAGGCTCACACCCCTTTGAGTCCCATGCACACGTGTTAAATTGTGATGGACCATCGCACAGTGGCTTGTGCAGCCCTTTCTCTGCAAAGGGGCCCATGCCTGGTAGGTGAAACGGAGAACCGCCTGCACAGAGGGGAGGGGATAAAGCTCTTGAGCTCAGGATAACCAGAGGCCCCTTCTCAGCGTACCACACCCTGGACATCCCCTTCTGCTCCCCCGCTGATGGGGACCCCCACCCCGGCCCCAGCCAATGGCCCCGCAGCGCAGGATGGGGAGGAGCTGCCGGCAGTGGATAAAAGCCTCCGTGGGTCTGCAGCTCAGCTACGGGGTCTGCATCCTCCTGCAGCTCTGAGCAAAGCCGCCTGCCACCATGGTGCACTGGTCAGCTGAAGAGAAGCAGCTCATCGCCAGCGTCTGGAGCAAGGTCAACGTGGAAGAATGTGGTGCTGAGGCCCTGGCCAGGTAGGTCCAGCTCCCGGGCATCTGCTCAGCTGCAACCTGGATAGAGAAACCCTGGCCATTGCATTTTGGTGTCTGTGTCTGCTTGTGTCCCTCCATCTCTCCCCAGACTGCTGATCGTCTACCCCTGGACCCAGAGGTTCTTCGCTTCCTTCGGGAACCTCTCCAGCCCCACCGCCATCATCGGCAACCCCAAGGTCCGTGCCCACGGCAAGAAAGTGCTCACCTCCTTTGGGGAAGCTGTCAAGAACCTGGACAACATCAAGACGACCTACGCCAAGCTGTCCGAGCTGCACTGCGAGAAGCTGCACGTGGACCCCGAGAACTTCAGGGTGAGCTGCTTTTGCAGTCCCAGCCCCTTCCCTATGTTGTGTGGGGAAAGTCAGATTTTGCTTTGAAACTGGGGGTATTGCCTCCAACAACGCTGTCTAGGGGTACTTACTTTCTTTGGCTGGTGAAGGCAGGGTCCCTTTGTAGCACCCGAGTGAGACAATAGCTTGTGCAAGACTGTTTGCAAGAGTGTGGGTGACTTTCACACTAAAAAGTCGCATTTTTAGTAGCAGCACAGCAATGGGGAAGAGAAAGTATTGGGAAATTGTTACCTGAAGGAGATCTGGTTGGGGACAAAAGAAACAAGCCCAGGGGAAGGTGCAGCACGGGCTGGAGGAGTCAGAGGCAGAGGGGAGCTAAGCAGAGCACTTAAGGAAATCATAGGTCCTATAGTAAGATAAGCATCTAGAAAACCACGGAGCAGGTCTCTGCCTTGTCCAGTGTGGTCTGCCTGTCTGCATGGGACATTCCCTCCTCCTCAACACTTTTAAATAAAAATGGATCATTTTCTTCATTTACATCTAAAGAGAAGAAGAAAAAAAAAACCCAGCATTTTGCAGGGTGGGTCTCAGGCCAAATTGCTTTAGCATCGCAAAACTGGGGGGAAGTAGTATCAAGGTTCTTCCTTTCTTTCTTTTTTTTTTTTTTTAAAAGAACGAAGCAAATACTGTTTTCCCAAAACCCAGAGCTTTCTATGCAAGGACTAAGGATTTTGTTGCAGCAGTCGCAGAGGATGGGGAGTGAGCCAGTCCCTGTAACCAGCCCTGCAGCCCGCTCTGATGGGGCAGGGGGGGCTGAGGAGGAAGAGGAGGAGTGTGCAGCATGTGAGAGTCCTTTCAGGAGGGGAATTCAGCCTCAGGGAGAAGTCAGGAGAAAGGAAACCTATGCAGCCTATGGGTTGCCGGGTGTCTGGGGGGGACGGGAAGGAGAGGGACCGGAGGGAAGTCTGCAGCAGGAAAACCAGGGAGATAGAGAGCTTGCGTAAAGGAAGAAGCTGTTTAGAGCGAAAGAGACGGCGGAGTCGGGTGGGGTTGGTGGAGTTGTGTGCGGTGAGAGCGGAGACCCCTCCTCGAGAGGTGTGGGTCCAAAGCTCAGCCCCAGCCTGGGGATGTCCGGTCCCTGCTCCGTGGTCTGCTGCAGCACAACGGTTCGAGCAGCACTAACCCTGTCTGTGTTCCTCTTTCTCCTCCAGCTCCTTGGAGACATCCTCATCATTGTCCTGGCTTCCCACTTTGCCAGGGATTTCACCCCTGCTTGCCAGTTTGCCTGGCAAAAGCTGGTCGGTGTCGTGGCTCACGCTCTGGCCCGCAAGTATCACTGAGCATCCCGGGACCGGCCGTGCGAGGAAGAGTCCCTGCTCTGCCACAAGCACCTCCGAGCGCAGGGAGATGCCCTTTGGGTATTGACAGGCTGTAACCACCAAATAAATGCCTCCCAGCACCATGTCTGCAGAGTCTCCCTGTGTCTGTGCTGGGGAAGGAGCGGGGCCAGGGGAGTTCGTGCTGTCGAATGCAATGCCATCCGCGTGTGGGTGTATTTCTCGTTTCTAAGGGCTGTTGCAGACAGAGTTTCCGTAACTCTGCAGTGCTCTCTCATGTGCGCTCCCTGCCAGTGCATCCACGGGGGTCTGTGAAGAGAAAACCCATGCAAAGGGCCCTGACACCTAGCAGTGTTTCAGAGAGGGTCATAGGACTAACGAGGGATTGCAAAGAATCCACATCTGTTCTCCCAGCTCTACATAATGTGGAATAGGGTGAAGCCAGCACCACCTGGAGCACAGGGTTCCCGGCCAAGCCGTTGCTGCGCTTGGGGAGCTGGCACCTGCCTTGCCCTGCTCTAGGGCTGGGGATGCGCGATGTGCTTTTAGAGCAGCTGATACAGGAGAAAACCTTTGAACTCTGACTCTTGGGAGGTTCAGGAGATGTCCACTTCTTCTAACTATATCAGCTGGCCGAACAGGAGATACTGCTTCTCCAAGGGGGATTTATCATGCTGATGCAGATAGCAGGATAGCAAATGCCTCATCGCCAGGCACCCACAGTCTACAGACTTCCCCTCTCCAGTTCCCAACGTCACCCGGTGAACAAAACCCACCACGCTAATTGGTATCTGGGCTCTGCCATGCCCAGCCCTCCTTCTCCCATCCGAGGGGCTTCCATGGTGCTTGGAGGGAGGCTGTGGGTCAGGCTCAGTTATTCATTCTTTGGGGCAAAGGTGACAAGTTCAATTTTTTTTAGCTGTTTTATTATACAAAACAGGAAAAAAACATGAAAATGGTCAGGACTGTGTTTCTCTTACTCTTAAATCTTGTCTTAAACCAAGGCTGGAGACTCCTTGCATAAGGGGACGGACAACCAGTGCTGTTTACAGCATCTGGCACAGCAGAGTCCTGGCTGTGATAGAAGTTTCTGGAGTTACCAGGGAGGATATGGTTGTTTTGGGTCATAATCTTTCAAAACATGCTTTCATCTCACCTGGGTTCAGTAGGCTTCTCCTATGCACTGAATCTGCAGGTTTTTGTACAGAGACTAGCGCAGCTCCCGGAAATTCTGTGCAGCCAACAGCAGCGCAGCCAACGCGCTGACCCTGCTTCGAGCAGGGCATCAGACTAGAGACCCCTGGAGACCCCCTCCTACCAAATTATTCCCTGGTTCTGCACTCTGAGTTTGCAAGACATTTGCTTGCTTTTCTCCCCTATGGCTTGTTTTCATAGAGTCATAGAATCATTAGGGTTGGAAAAGACCTCTAAGATCATTGAGTCCAACCATCAACCCAACATCACCATGCCCACTAAACCATGTCCCTAAGCGCCTCATCTACACGTCTTTTAAATACTTCCAGGGATGGAGACTCCACCACTTCCCTGGGCAGCCTGTTCCAAGGCCTGACCACTCTTTCAGTAAAGAAATTTTTCCTAATGTCCAGTCTAAACCTCCCTTGGCGCAACTTGAGGCCATTTCCTCTCGTCCTATCGCTGGTTACTTGGGAGAAGAGACCAACCCCCACCTCGCTACAACCTCCTGTCAGGTAGTTGTAGAGTTTTGAAGGGGTCCATGAAGAAACAAGTTGAAGGTGCCTTTATAAATCTGCTTTGTTTGAATGCTGTAAAAGACAGGACTGAAGAGGGGTGGTAGGAAGACGTAGATGTTGCCCATCACAGTGTGGAAGATGGGGGTGCCTCTTTCCCAAATCTGTGCAGGATGGGCTAGCCAAGTTCTGGGACGAAGAAGACTGAGACCACACAACCTTCAGGCCCTCATCCTTGGAGGCAATGCTGAGAGGTGTCATGAGGACCACGATGGAGGACAACAAAACAAAGAGGAGATCTGAACCCATGGTGAAGAAAATGAGGTCTGGGGCATAGATGCTGTTGAACACTATCTCTCTGGAGGGCAGCCAGGTCATCATGGGATGAGGCAAAGGGGATGGGACAAGGCGCTCCCCAGACCAGGCAGACAGAGGAGATGGAGGACCGGGGTATGATCACGACTATGCTCCTCTGTGGGTGCGTCAGCCCTATTTTGGCTGCCCTCATGCCTGTTGGCATGGTCATACAGCTCCATGGGGGGCAGAGAGCCATCAGCCTGCCAAGGGGCATGGCAAAAAGCACCACTGACTCCAGGAATGTGAGGGAGCAGATAAGGAAGAGCTGAGACACACGGGGGTACAAGCTAATCGCCACAAGCAAGGACCGCAGCATCCCTGACACGGTGGAGAGACACAGCCCAAGGCCAGTAAGGGCCAGCACGGAGGGGACATGATCCAGGGCTGGTGGAGGCTTTGGTCTGCTTTTCTAGCATGCAGAATAACACAATTTCCAATGCTCGTAGTGACATGAGCAGAACAAATTGAGATGGAAATCTGGGGTAATATGTCCTTCACACTGAGGGAATGTGGTTAGCAGAAAGGCTGTGACCACGGGGCTGGTCCAGTGCTCACCCCCATGAGGTGCTCTTGGTGTCCTCTCACTTCTTAGGAATTGCAATCTGTGCAGCCCAGATTTGGTTCAGGTCTAGTTTAGAAATGATAGAAAAATCCTGAATCCCTATGAATTGCATCATGCAGCCCTGAAATGATGGGAGGCTCACACTAGCGGGTTGATGGATTGTTCTCTTTCACGGCAGCTTCTCTCAAACCTCAGACAGCGCTGCAAATCTTTGATGAATGATCACAATGTGTTGCTTTGGAAAGAGAGGAAGGGAATTTCCACAACAACAGCACAGACTAATAACTGAATAGATTTTATAAAAGAAAGTTTGCTTCTTGTGAAAATTGATAGGAAAAGGCATTAGGAAATAGTGTTAAATTATATAAATCAGAAAACAGTTGTGATCTGTGGTTGTGACACTTCAGCCATCGGGAGATGTCACCTCTCCTCCTGGAGCCTGCCTTCCTGCAGACCCACCATGAAAATGGAGTCCCCAGGTTTGCAAATGGTGGGATGGAATATAAAACTTCTTATTTATCTAATAATAGACGTTGTTTGCAGTTTTCACAGGTGTTAAGAAAAAGAATTAGTCGAATATCTGTGCTAGGATAATTAATGGAGTCTGTGCAATGAAAAATGTGGTGGTGCGTTTTGTGCTTATGAGAGGAGCATTTGTGTTTTCTCCACAGTGAAACCCTCTTGTTAACTGCTGTGGCATATTGCCTGGAAATGGAACCTTAAAAACTCCTGCTTAAAAATATAATGAATTAATCAAACCCCAGAGCCTTTTAAGGAATTCTTATTCAAAGTTTAATGTCAGTCTAAGGAGCAGGCTAACCAGAGGACTATCAGGTATAATTATTTTTATCTGCCCTGATCCCCACACTTACCAAAATAACAGGAGCAGAAAAAAACCCCAGTTCTCTTCACTTCTTAGCATGAGCCAAAAATACTCTCTAACTGGCTCTGTGCTGCCCCTGCTGGGGTTATATATAGCGTAAGGCACAATTTTATGCCTCTAGAGGGAATTCTCTCAGAGGACTGTCAGCATAATAGAGCATTTTGGAAGACAGGTCTTACAGCTGGTGGGATTGGAACATAATCATAACAAAATTCAGCCATTCGTGTGGGATGTTTGTTGTGTTTTCCCACACTACTTGAAATGAGAATGAATGGAAACGTACTTGTTCTGATTTTGCAAAAGATGCTTCATTTCTTTTGAGATGTAAAGAAAGATGTTGTTTTCTCCAAGAAACAGTATGGAAATACCCAAGCTACCTAATGGCTCTGTGCTCCTGCAGCAACCATTTCTGGTAGTTTTTTACACCGCATGTTACGTTACGGAGATATTTGGACAGAAAATCTATCTGCCTGTGGAACAAGGGGGATCCTTTTCAGCTTGCGTAGCCCGTAGAAAAGGGCTTGATCTATAGGGCCACAAGCAATCCTACAGGCGAGACTGGAGGGATGGGGCCAGCTCTGCTGGCTGTTTTCCACAAGCCACATTGTGCAAGGACTGGCTGGGAACAGGACCACAACGTTTTTCCTGTGTCACTAGCAAAATCTGATGTCATGGCAACTGCAGTACTGATGCAAAAAACCTCGAGAAATATCATTTGGATATTAAGAGATTTTTGATCCATCCCTCTTGGTTAACTTTGCAGAAATGAAGGTTTGAAACCTTGAGTGACTTATCATAGCTGATCTGCCTCATCTTTCCTTTTTTCTGCCCCCTTACCTCCTCCCGCCTCTGCTTAGTGCCCTTCCAGACCAAATGCTCTTCAGTAAGAGAACCAGACACATGCTCATTTTCCATCCCAAACGAGAAGTGGCAGGGATAATGTTTCTGAGATGATGAAGAGTTTCTCTTTCATAACCCAAAGACTCATCCAGACAGAAGTGCAGGAGTTCTCACTATCTGGCACAAAGTGAACTCAGAAACCAATTTTTTGTTTGTTTGTTTTTGTTGGCAGCCTTTTATCATGTCTCCCTCAATCTTTCTTTGTCCAGGCTAAATGACTGCTGCTGTGGAGACAGGCCCCCATGCTCCACCCCACAGAAATTAAGAATTCCTGCACTAGAGACCCATGTATTCACTACGCAGTAACAAACGCCATGGTAGCTAATGTGATTTAGATAAATCCACACTGTCAAACCGCAGTGGCTGGCAGAGGTTGGAGAAGGACCACCTTTGTCCATACAGCAGAGATGTGTGAATGACAGGGAGGACACGCTGGTCCCCAGAAAGCAGAGCATCATCTCACCTCCCATTACCTGACAGATCACAAACGGCAGAATCACCTTCTGGAGACTACCCAGCTTTACTGCAGGGTTGCAGGGTGATGATTAAGCTTGCCCAAAGCCTGCCCTGGTCCGGTGCTTAGCCACGTGGCCATGGCAGCCTTTCAGCAGCGGGTGGCTGTGGTGGTCCTCTGGGTTGCATCTGCAGGGACAGACGTGGAGCAAATCACCGAGACGCGCTCTGAAGCTTCCCCGTTACTTCTGCAGCAGCACTCAGAGCTGCACAGACGTCCGCCGCCGTGAATGCTGGAAAGCACCTGCTTGGGTGGAGACTTTTTGCAAATATGCTCACTCGGTCCTACTCGGCACTCCTACCACTTTCTCCACGTGCTGCCTGGTCGTGTCTCAAGCAATCAAACAAACTGCTCTTGCTCCTGCTTTGCCCTCTCTCAGTCCTACAACTTCTTCCAGGGAAGAGCCTCCTTCCATGGAGGGGAATGCTTCGCTTTGGGACAGTTTTGTTTGGGAAGTTTCTGTTTGCTTTATTAATAATTTTTGTTTTACGTACATGAAGTTTTCAGTGTTTGACAACATTAGAGAGAAGGAACCCCTTTCAGTGGCAAAGACAGGCAAGACAATGTGTCTTGGCCCTTTCTGCACGTTTGGGTCTGTCCCAGATAATGAGTTTAGGTATATGGCCTGAAATGCAGGGAGCTGAAACGCAGGCATTGTCAGGCACGATCTGTACTTGAATCACCACTGGATCATTTTCCATTGGCACCTTGGAACAACACTCCAGCAAAGTACTCCATAAACACTAGCCCTGGCCTTAGCTTTTTCTGTTTTGCCTCTTTATTTTAGTTGCCCTATCCATAACACAGGGAAAATAAAATTTATGTATCTTTAAAAGGGTTTATTGGGATTCCACTGCTGATGTTTGAAAAACGATGTGTATGTGAGAGTGCTTTTGCATGGCCAAAAAGTAGGCTCACCCTCCACCCGTGCTGGTACATGCTGAGCTTGTGGGCACTGCACCTCCCTCTCTCCATCCCTTTCCCAACCCTCTCTTCCCAAAGTTTTGCCATGGAAGAGCTTACATCTTCTCAAGCATACAAAGAAGAGTGAGGCACCGCTTTTGCACTAAAAGGCTTGTCAGGGATGTGTGTATTTTTCTAGGGGTGCAAAGACCTAAAGATGCACTCTATTTTAGCCAAAATTCAGTGATGAAATCTAAGCAGTGTTTCCAGGGAGTTGCATCTCTATCTCACCTCAGACCTAGCTGGCAAGTGCAGAGCAGCAGTTTCACCCTGGAGCCAACACCTACACTTGGGGCAAATAACTGACTTTATTAATGTTTAACATTTCAAAATTCACAGTTCTATTTTAAAACGGAAGAAAAATCTAGTGAAAATTATTTTTTTTTCATTGCTGCTCTGACCAGTGTTTCCTAAACATTTGTGATCCTCATATTTGCTCTTGCAGCATTTACCCCTGTGCTGCCGCCAGGGTGGTGGCAGCTGAAGGCATGAAAGGGAGTCCCGTCACCTCCCTGGACTGTGTAGTTGGTTTGCATTTCATGGCCTCAGCCCCGGCAGCAGGTCCCAGGTGACTGTCGTTGCTGCTGAGATTTCACACAGGCATTATAAAAACAGCTGGCTTCCTCCGCATGTGAAACACCCGGGCAGCAGTGCGGTTCCCTGTCCCTCTGCATCTTCTGCCTAAGGACTTCAGCCAAACAGAGATAAGGGCATCTGAAGGGTCAATGCACTTCCGTGTCAGCCTGGCTTCATCACTGATGTTTTAATTTTGGGTGGGTCATTTTCCATTCAGATTTTGTGATAAAGGGTAGCTTTGGTTCACAGCCGGCTTGCTTATCTATCACTGTGCCTTCCTGCAGGTGTTTCACACTTTCCATCCATCCATCCATCCATCCATCCATCCATCCAACAGTGTCCCTCTGTTGTGGTTTAACCCCACAGAAGTTCAGCGAACGCCCTCCCCTTCCTCCTCCCCCCCGTTGTTACTGCTGAGCACGATGTCGTGTGGTATGGAATATCCCTTTGGTCAGTCGGGGTCCCGGCTCTTCCCTTCCCAAGTCCTTGTGCACTCCCAGCCTCCTCGCTGGAGGGGCAGGGCGAGGAGCAGAAAAGGCCTTGACTCTGTGCAAGCACTGCTTCGGGGTCCTGGCTGTGTCCCTTCCCAAGTCCTTGTGCACTCCCAGCCTCCTCGCTGGTGGGGCAGGGTGAGAAACAGAAAAGACCTTCATGCTCTGTAAGCACGGCTCAGAAATAAATAAAACATCAGTGTTTTCTCAAGACTGTTTTGGTTACAAATCCAAAACAGCACCGTATGAGCTACGATGAAGAAAATTAACTCTACCCCAGCCAAAATCAGTGCACCCTCCAAACCCATCACCTCGCCACCCAGGCATCTATCGCCAGCACACCCCTTGGCTGCCTGTTTATCTACCATCTATCCACATACATCTTCATCATCTATCCCTGTTTCTTCCCCACCACTCTGTCTCCTCTCAGTGTTTTCCACAGCCTGGGTGCCTCTTGCTGTAGCACAGGGACACTGCAGGGATGCAACTGCTGATATTTGGAGGAGAGAGTGGACATTTCTATAGAGGGTAACATCCAGTGGTACAACAGCATATTTCAGACAGGATTTAAAGCCCCGAAGTCATCCTTTAAGAACTGTGCTTTTTCATGGGATCTTTCACAAAGCACAGATTACGCCCCATCTGCTGATGGGATGTTTTGCTCGTCTGAGGTGGTTGGTGCTGAGCGCACTTGGAGATGGCGAGCCAGTTCCTCTGGTCCTTGCCCACTGAGAGCCCGATGCTATGAAGCACGACCGAGCTAGGATCATGCTCTGTCTACAGGCTTCATGTTCATCCTTCTGGGCAGAAGCTGAGCATCCACCGGAGCCGGAGCACCCACTCCTCCCCCATGGCACAGCACCCAGCTGGGAAATTCATCCTTTCCCTGTGTGCAGACACATTGTTTACGTGTCTCGACAAGGACAAAAATAAAAGGAGGGTGGGAGGAGCAGGCGAGGAAAGTTCCTTCCTCAGCCAGGCTGTGGAGCAATCAAGGCGAACAGCTTCGTGGAGGGGCACTGGGGGGGCAGGATGCCCAGCCTCTGGGGCAGCCCCGTGGGCGGAGGACGGGACTTTTGCCATTTTAATGAATGTTTACTCAGGCCAGAACAGTCGATGATGCACAGAGTGAACAAAGCAATCTTTTTGTTTTTGTGGGACATCCAAAGCACCTTTACAGATGATGAGGATGAGGTACACATTCAAGTCTGTATACCCAGATTCAGATACTTAAATTTATATTTTCATGTTGAAGGTAATTAGAGCTCCCTGGAAAGCTGTCTGCTAATTTAACTTACCAAGCTAATTATTTAGCTGGCGAAGTAGAGAGTGGAGGCACAGATGTCTGGAGCTTTGACTGAGAAGTGGGGCAGTTGGAAATAGACTAATTCCATTTTTCATGGCACACTAATGAGTTTAGCCACATGCCCTCCAATTAAACAATGCCATGTTCCCTGTTTACATAGACAGATGGAGCGTGAATGCCTTGAGTGCTGAGGGCTGGAAAAGTTTAACTTCTTTCACATCAGCCCCTGCAGCCCCTGAAAAGAGCAGCAGACAAGCCAGGCAAATAATTAACATAGGTTAGTGAGCATTTTATAACTTTTTTTTTTTTTTACTTACAACCCTAAAAGGTACCGTCCCTGTATTCAAAGCTTAAGCCCTTTAAGCATAGCTTTTCTTTTATGATTTGTATTTCGCATAGCACTATATTTCCCTGAGGTATCTGTGGGCTGTGGACTGGAAGCCCTTGGTTGACAGTTCTGTAGAAATGAAAGCTGGGTTTGTGTACGCATTGCTTAATTTTACCCAACACTGTTAGCTGTAATAACAACAAAGTTGCTGTGTATCTTACTAACACACATACCGACTGAAATACCTGTCCCTTTGAACAGCTTGATGGGCTATCAGTGAGAACTGTAGTAATGGCAACAACAATTAGAATAGTAAATAATCTCCGAAGTGAAGGGAAACAATAATGTTCTAAATTTGCCAATGCCTTACCAAATTTAGACTTGCAGGAGTGACCCTGTCCCCTCGGGGCTCAGAGTGGGTGACAGATAAATTTCGGTAATTGCTGCTGTTTCTGTAGCTCCCAGGGACCCTTGTCAAGGAGCACAGCCTCATGGTGCCAGGTGCTGCACAGACACAAAACAGGGAGAAAACTGCAGCCTTTTCCCCTTCGCCTTCCACTGAAGAGTAGACTAACTGATAGCAAAGGGTGCAGGTAGGGGACAGGAGGACAAGCAGGACCGTATCTGCCAAGAGCCAAGCCATGGTCCAAACTCAGCAGCCGGGCGAGGGGCGGTGGTTTGCAGAGCTCCAGACAGGGCATCCTGCACAGGGTGAAAGACGAAAATCTGACAATCCAGCAAGCAAGCTGAGGGGGCTGGCTGGGCAGGCTGGTACCTGCAAGCAAGGACAGACAACAGGCTGGAGGCACAGCCTGCGAGGGGAAACAGGCATCTGTCGTCTGCCGCAACAGCCCGTGGGCAAGGGGAGGGCTGCTCGGAGGAGCAAGGATGGTGAGAGCGACCATTGTCCTCCTGCAATATCCTGCATGGAAGTGGGTGCAGTGAGGCTGTGCGCAGCAGGGACCGAGAGTCGACGTGTGGAAAAGACGGGGGGCCGTGGGGAAAGGCTGCAAATCCAATGTAGAGAGCTGAAGAGGGACCCACAAGGAAGCAGAGTCCAGGGCCTAAGTGCCAGGGAAGGATGGCAATGTTGCTTACAGCGACTGAGAGAAGAGGCTGTAGCAATGTCCTGGGAGGGATGAAGCCCCAGTGCAATAAATGATGTTATTATTGACTTTACAGGTGAGAAGCCTGGGGAAAACAAAGCAGGAAAAAGGACGGAACCAGCACTGCAAAGTGCTCATCTCTGCTCTGGCACATCTTCAAGGAGGAGAAAAGAAATGAGATCTCCATGCCGAGACACCAGACTGTTCGTTTTCATTGCCCTGTGAAATCTAATCCCACATTACCTTTGAAATGCTAATGAAAAGGGGGCCTTTAACACAGGCAGGACATCAGCACAGAGCAAGCATGTCCCCAGGGACAGCAGCCGTGCCCTGGCT